GGAAGATGAGGGGATCTATGGCTAGTCTATCACAAACATTCAAGGTGTCAACACCTCCAACACAGTCAATCTGGATGGAAACTGACAGTACGAATGACAATGGCACCGGTTAGCCACCAAACACAGAAAGGGTCGCGTGAACCTCATTTCAAGAAGCGGATAGCACCAACGGCTGCCTAAGTTTTCGCAACATCCTCCACTTCCCTCCACCATATCGAATCCCCTCCACCTCCAGGTTTCCTCGGCTGCGCATCAGACATGGAAAGTAGCGCTCATCACGGCGAGCGCTAACTCAATAACCGTAACACACAGCCAAACCAGCTTAGCTAGCAGTGCTGGATAAATTATTTGGAGAAACTACCCTCTGCTTCACCCAAAACCTCGTTGCGAATTGGTTGGTTCCAACCAATCCAGCCATGGTTGTGAGATAAGGATGATCAAAGACATGAAGATGCCTCAGATCCGAGACAGCTGTGGCTACGACGCTAGCGGACGGATCACATGTTCCGGGGTCCGACCCCAACTTAAGCATTTCGACTACTCCTGTTCAGGCTTGGAGAACCTGGCAGTATCCTAGCCCTCATGCCTCCTTCCGTTGGCATGTTAACTAGGCGCCGAAAGAGCACTCCAGCTGAAAGATTTTTTATCCTTTACCCGAACTGGCCAGATCTCGCAGCCGTACAATACAGCCGGGTGCTTTAGTTTGGTACACGCATCGTTTAAGACCAAGGATGCCACAAGTGGCATAAATTAAAAAACGTAATTCTGACCTTAAAGACTCATGCGCTCACTTCATCTCTCTCGATTGCAGTCAGAGATAAGTACAGTGTTCCACAACTTCCAGTGCCATTTTTGAATACCCAGAAGCATGTTCAGAAACTGCGTCCTGCAGCACGACTTTGCATCTTCTGGGAGCGGAGTACATGCCGAAGGACAGGATGACTGAAGTCAGCTTTTCAAGTAATGCTTGAGCTTTCTGCTCTTTCTTTGGAAAACGATGTTGTTCTGTATAGTTCAGTTCGACAAGGTCCCCACTCAAAGAGGTCCGGGAATCGGGATTTTGGAGACCTTCTAATGTTCTCTTCATTGTCTCATGAATAACGAAAATAAACAAAAATGGAGGGGGCATCCTTGTCAGACACCACTGTTTGTGGGGAAGCTTTTGGAGAGCTCTCCATAAGCTCTCCCGCGTCCACAAGTACGTGAATACAAACAGCGCATGACATTCACAAACTTTTTGACAAACCCTGAGGAGTCTTTCGAAAGAAAATTGACCGGTTAATTGAGCGCACCCTCAACGCCAAGGAATAGCGCGTGCTGTTGCTCTAACAGTTGATGGAGTGTAAAGATATGGTCTACACAGACCCTTCCCGTCCGAAATCCTGTGTTTTCTCGGATTCGCTCTTCATGCGCCTTCGTAAGACAACGTAGAATAAGCGACGCAAAAAGTGTGGTTACAACAGGATACAAGCTAACTCCTGTGGTTGCCATACACTGCGAGGACCCTTTTCGAAAATGGAAATTATTATCGACTCACTCCATTTAGTTGGGACGACTCCTTTCCCCAGATACTGGCAAAGTTAGACTAGCACCAACCGAGCATTTTACATCCATCTTTGAACAGCGCGGATGTCAGTTCACGGATGATAGCAGCTCGATGACGTTTGAGATAAAATGCATTCGCTTATCTCCGGAGCCGTCAAGGGTCATAATTTTACTGCCCGAAGCTGCATTGTGGGCCGGGAATTCAACTGAACAACTGCAAGTGATCAGCTGATTTGGTCTTTAAAGTGTCTATCCCGAGGATTAGGGCGCTCGTTTTCACCGATAAGCAAACCGGTGCTATCAGCAATCACTTCGCTCACTGGAGGTTTTTTGGGGCCCGTTGCGCGTACCAGATGAAGCATTTTACGGACATTTCTAAGGTTTGTCACTTCCGCCATCTCTTCAGCCTTCTGGATCAAAACTTCTCGATCCGCCCAGGTGCTCGCTTTCATCTGAAGTCTGGGAGTACGTTGAGCGCTGCTGTACTCTCCACCATGAGGAATACGCATCCGATATTCGAGCAGTTTTAGAGTGTGGCTTGGGACCCACAGGCTAGGTTTGTTGCACCGTTCCGCACACAATGTTCCCAGAATCTTGCAAGGTTGCGGGCAGTACCTTCCAATAAGTCAACATCAAAAGATGTCTTCTCCGAAAAGGATCTTGGTAGGTGGCTCTCGTACATTTGTTTCACATCAGGGTCAGATCTTCTCAATGGCCGTGCGAGGTGTGCACATAGTGTGCACTTCTGCAAAGCGTAACGAGAATCAGCAACAGCCAAGCGCATGAACCGAATCCACCCAGGTGTTCCAGAAAGAGCGGTAAGCAGTAACTGACCTACGCTACCTACAACTAATGGCGATGTACTCTACCTGTACTGGAGATGGACTCGCATGTTGGGGTACGATCCTACCAAGCAAATTCAGTTGTTACGGAAGTTAGTACTACGCAGAAGCAGTCTGTGACTAACACAACGGCAAAAACGTTCGTTGCTGTCCGTATGTCTTGATTCCGGTCCTGGACGACCACCAAATTGAGCCTCAGCTATTTCAAGTTTGACTTCTTAGGCATTCGTATGTAATGTTATATATTGACGTTGTGTTTAACTTTTTACTCGCTACTCGTTGAGCTAATTGTGTTTCCTAATGTTTTAGCTGATGTACTGAAATTGATAGAAGATTAAAGCCAATCATTCGGCAATCCTCGTTCTCTGTTTCTGGCACAATCATTCGAGTGCGCAACAGGTCGGAGCTCTGCTGGCTATCCTCGGATCTTGTCTTCGCAAGTCTTTGTAACCAACGTAAAATAAGCAACTTAGCCTGATTACAAGGGGGTCATGGTAATTCCTGTGATTGCCACACTATCTGCGAGCACCAGTTGTGAAAATGGGCACCACTATTCATCCATCCCAGTTATTTGGGATTGTCTTTTTCTTCCAGATAGGAGCAAATAAGGTAGATAAATATCGACTGGAGACTTCACATCCATCTTTGAACAGAGTGGAAAACGTAGCATACTATTCAAAAGGTTGCCGAAAACTCCCCGGCAGTCCACGACCGGTTTCACACTTCCATTTAGGGCTCATCAGACAGAGGCAGTCTCCAAGTTCCCATCAACCTTGGGTTACGGTTGCGAAGCACCAGTGTTGAGCACCGATGTTATGTTGATGATGATGACCCACCTCAGGTTCTACCTGCAAGAAATTAGCGAACCACACTCATCTGCTTACCAATTTGGTTTTCATGAAAGACCCAACTGAACTCCAGCTGAATCTCTCGTTTATGATGATCCACTTCGACTGAATATGCTGCATCAGGCTGTCTCATGTTTCCGTTTGGTAAGATATGTATTCACTACAGACGCAACAACTGGTTATGTGTCATCGTCCAGCTGCAACGCCCTAGCTGCCATGCCACCAGAAGGAACGTAGTGATAAAAATACCTTCGAGTGTATCAGAGCCAGATTGTTGGGCCCTAAGATGAATAGGCAACGATCATTGGCGCGTTTACGGGGTTCCCCCACAGAAGTTGCCAAACGAGCCGCATAGAGCCGACATTAACGGGGAAATCACACAACCAGAGATCCTCCAGTTCGGTAGCTTCATACAATACCGAACCCAGCAGAACCAGTCGCAGCGGCTTATGGATCGCCAGAGGTGCGCGATCAGACAAGGAGGTCAGCTGAATCGTCGCCTCAGACAAACATCACACATTAATTGAAAGTGAGTCCAGCATATACTCAAAGGCCGTCTGTTGTCCAGATTGTTTCAGAGTGAAAACGTTATAGGTTGTCACAAGAACTGAGCAGTTGGGTTTGAAGGGTGATTTCGAAATGTCTCTGGCCGTTGCGGCAGAGTCAAATATAGATATTACTGACAGCGGCAGTGGGCGGCGAACGGATCCGTCGATCCTTAAAAATAGGACTGCGATGTCGCTAAGAAAGGGAGGGGAGAGGAGGGAATATGTGAGAGAAAAGGAGGCACCAGCAGTAGCCTGTTTTCCCATACCCACCCTGCTGTAAACTGAATATAAGGCGACCCGGCTGGTTGAACAATGCGGCGACCGACATGGCATGCTGTTATGTAATTGCAATCGGTGGGTACAGGTTACACTGGCTAGGATAATGCCAGAGCGCCCAGACAGAGACGAGAGGACGACTAGGGTCCTCGACCAAAGCCTTTAGCTCAAAAGCTTAACAGCAAGGCAGGCTTGGTGGGCGTAAGGCTGTCAGAGCGGCCTACATTTTTAAGGAGCAAGTCCAAATCCCCAGCCTGGAAGACCAGAAGACTGTAAGACCTCTATCTATTGAACAAATTGGTGTGAGATGCCCTGTAAATGTCACATGTAAACCCATACATTAGCTCAGTGAGTAATGGAAGCCACAAACCGTCACACCACGATAAGGTCCAGCCTATCCATGACGGGAAAACACCCACCCACACAGAATTGATGCAGATAACGGACGTGAAATCACCATGAACTCTGAAGAGCTCAGTAAGGGAAGCCAAAAACCGTCACACCACGATAAGGTCCAGCCTATCCATGACGGGAAAACACCCACCCACACAGAATTGATGCAGATAACGGACGTGAAATCACCATGAACTCTGAAGCGAAACTTTTCTACGTTCAGTGTTAGAACAACCACAGTATCATGATCTCTGTGGTCGCTCCCGACGGTGAAGATCGCAACGTGAAGCTGGAAGGGCATAGGACAGGTGGACCGCTTCGCGTCGATGCAGACAGAGGCAGATAAGAACTCAGAGGTTCGTAATCATATCGTGAAAGTATTCATACTATCGAATCCAGTTCCCATCTGCAACTACTGTAGCAATACCGAAGATGGACGCTCGGTGCGCTTCAAACCCTGGTCGCCTTGATGGAATCAACGAGTGGATCACGTTGTCATTAACAAAAAATAACGAAGCACATAGAAGAGTCTTCAACAAAGGACTTACGATTGATGTTTCCGAAACTGAGAAACAATGCAGGCAACAAGCCTGCGATCTTCATTAGTGACAGCGGGCGCATAGACAGCGACGCTACCGCTGGGAAAGTGCTCAAGTGTATACTCGGTTATGGCGACTTCCAAAGCATGTCTCCATGGTTCTGCAGTCGTATCACCACCGTCTGCATCGTTTGGATCGAGGCCTTTGACATCGCTAGCCGTTTGCTTTAAGTGGTCGTAATGGAAGGTCGAATGTGATCGAGGGCAGAGGAACTGCCCGTTACCTAAATCACCATGTGCGGTTATCAATGAGCTGTATTCCGCATTAGGAAGTTTCACGGGTATCATCTGATCCCGGTTGTATTGTGCGGCGGCTCTGAAAAAGCAATCAACCTGAATGATTTTCTTACGCAGCGAGTTTTTTCTGAGTTGTTGGGTGATCACCAGAAATCACGCGTACATCTGAACAGTTTTCAGCTAAGCAAAGTACACTCACCTTCGAACACCTCGTTGAACTCACAGGGGGGAGCCAGCAAAACTAGTCGAGCACTGATTGACGCCTAAAATTCCAGAAACTCATATCTAATTAGGAAAATCATACCCTCTCCTCTGGACTTATGGTATCCTCAACCATAGCGTCTAACTTTGTTCTGCCCGGGTGGTTTTTGAGTTCGATTTGATTTATGGTTTCACGAAAGGCTGAAGTTATCAGAAGGTTTCCCTGAATCCAGAATATCTGTGTCTTTTTGTGTAATTAACGTCTGAAAGTATAAGTGGAGATGAATTATTGCCAACCTGACAACCTCATCGATGCGACAGTAAAAATATAACAACCCCCCGATCAACATCCGACACGCAATTTTCAGTAAAACCGTAGTTGTCAAAGGTAAACTTTTGTGTAAGATAAAATTGAAAATGTGTGTATCTCACATCCTAATGCTGCGTAATCCTCCGCTTTTTCGCGGAAATTTGGTTTGCATCAACAAAGGGACCACACGATTGCGCCACCCATTGCCCATCAAACGACTACTGAAGCACAAGGTGGAAACCTGCACCTAGCCGGTAAACTGCGGAATTCCACCGACCGAAAAGCGGCGGTTTTCATCTTTTGAAACCGGAAAAGTTCTTTTAAATCAGAATATGTGCACCCACCATCACGAATGTCAAGCTGCTATATTAAGTCAAGCTCCCTTAGCTGGGTTTATATTTTGCAAAGTGATATGGCTTCTGTCCTGGCGAAACTTCGTGGTTGCGGACACTTACTGATGTTCGAATCAAAGTCCACTGCAGCCACATCTTTCCCATCAAAAAGCAACAAACTGCGTTGTTCTGGCCTTCCTGGATCAACTTCCTGGATCAATTTTCTGTTGCTAGTAGATAAAAGCTTTACACTTCCCAGATCGTACATTGCGTTCGTTTAGGGTTTGTTTTAGCGTGTGCGAAGTTTTCTTCCATTCATAAATCGTTTAGTTTTTGCACTGCGCTGATGAACGAACAGTACGGGCCAACCATTTTAATAGGAAAAAATGGCAACCAGAAGGCTCTGACCACAGATCATCGAAGGCACTTATGTTTCATATAGACGCTCTCCACGAATGGTCAATACATATCGCACCATATGGCTCTTCTCAGCAGTACTGCAGGTCATTTTTTCATTTTATTATCAGATGGCAAATATCCCGCCATAAATTACACATGCTGTCGCATCCACCCATGAACATTCTCTACCTTGCTGTCCACCGGTTGCATGCTGCTGTAAGTAGCGCATTTCTGCACAACTCGGGAAGCCTTGGAAAACTTGTCAAACGACCACCCGCATGAGAACAGGTGTTGCATCAGAAAACAAGCACAATATTCTGGAAGCCCAAAGCACATGACCGCTACACTGCTTGTGGAATGCAAACAACGTGCCGCTGAGAACGAGAGGAAGTGCTGGAATGTGCTGCCTAAGGTCCCGATGCAGTACGCCGATTGACTAAGTGTGACTCAAATGGCACGACTAATCAGGCTGCACTACCATCGCCCCGGGAGCAAAACAACTGGCCAAAATGTGGGGTGTGTGAAGCGAGGGGTTTATTATTCCTTGTAAGACAGCAACTTTAATTAACGTGGTGTTCGCACCAGGCGCAAACACGATTTTTATTAAAAATATCCCTGTGTGAAAGCAACAAAAATGCAATGGGATGCTCTTCTTTAAGGGCCTGCAAAATGTTCAAGCTCTTGTTACGCTGCCCGTTCTGCGTACAGTGGAACAGTTTGGCTGGTTACAAGTTTGTGCAACAGGCGTTTAACGCTGCGGGAAATACCATCTTCTGTATCATGATAGTTGGTCTTTGTTGACTCAGGTCAATGACACGGCTTCCACCCTCTCCCGTAGGCTACCATGTCCGCTTCTTACTGAAAATTACTGCCTCATTGCTTTTTTACTCTGTTAACTCGACACAAACCTTCTTTACCTAAACGCGTCATATAGTTGCTTGGTTGAAACTCTATGTCACCGACACAAACTTTTGTGGTGCCGCCATATCTTGCTGTACATCGGGGCGAATTCGGCCCACTTTGCGGATGCTAGTGTTTAAACGCCTGAAGCAAGCTCCTTACAATTCTGATGCTCGCTGTCCCTCTGGTGTTCAGTTTACTTCGCGTTTCCGTCGTTCGGACTTTAAGCTCTGGTGATATTTTTCCTGGGTTACATGTAGGATGACCACTTTTCAATATCCAGGAACTTACACCGCATCTCTAAAATGGAATCCGTAATTCAACCGCACAACTGGGTTATATCTGTAGGTTGGGAACCGCTACATTTTCACGATCAACGTAATGGCGGACCGATCTTATGCAACTAGCCGACTGGTTGTCAGATCACCAGTCCGAAACAACAGATCCTCTAGGAATGCTCAGAACAAGAATCGTGAAGTATTGTGAGCCTAATCTAGACAATTCCTAAATGGAAACATATATGAGGAACCTTTCAATCTTGTGAACTAAGCTGTCCAGATTAGTGTCACTGTGACGAGCGTCATTGTTTCGGGTCTGATTCGTAGCCTACGACTGAACTGGCCAAACAGCTGAAAAAGCGAGCATGTTGCGTCTGCGTTCGAAAGAGCACAGCGTTATACCGTCTTCATCTAAAGATGCTACTCTGTCTAACATCGCAATGCTTTGCGCTAGGACGAAGGCCTACTAAACGCCGGTTTGTGGCTTTTGAAGCCTCAAAGTTCAAACATATTTCTTGTCCAGATACCGCCGTGAGGCTGGTAGCGGCCCATATCATGATTTGAGATAAACTGGATGGATTTACCAAGCTATGTTTCGACTGGCCAACAAAGCAAGAAAGTTACATCCGAAGCACAAACTGAGTGATCTGAATATTAAGTGACTTGTTGCATACCAGAGCAAGCCAAGTGAAATATGAAATATCGTATCTGAGGGTATCAGGCCCCATATCTGCAATCCCTTTTAATACGATGAATCTTACAATCAATTACCTCTTTCAAGTCTACGTAGTCGGAGCTTTGATTACTTAAAGATGCCTTGTGGCCGTTTGGGCAGCCTTTCCTCGTTCAAATCATCCTTGAAGCTGCTGCCACATAGGCCATTCAAAACTAGCCGGAAGAATCTTGTATTGGATGTATCACTCTAAACAACGTGCAAGTCTACCAGAAAAAAATGCTTCCAGGAACCATGAACATTCTGCTCGCTCATTCAGCTTACGTTACAAACCGCCACAAGACATGTTTTATGAATATAGAGTCTGGCAAATGGGTGCCAGAAAAATTTATTGCGAAATTCGTCATTCATTTCAAAGCCGCCGAAGGTTATAAAACGGAATGTAACTGTCTGGAGTAACAATTCTTGTCCGATGTCGAATTAGCCCATCGTCGTTGGACCAGCTGTACGTTAAGAGACTGCCTAAATAATGTGAACTACTTCGTCAAATTGGTGATCCATCCAACTCGTCAGCCATTTGGAAACACCATTTGTAGCGTTCATCAAGTTCTTACGCATCGTCTGCACTCGGCCAGTCTAGCATTGTTTGGTGAATATACACTCATTTGCAAACAAATTAGGTTTTTCGAGAGACTCACCTGAAACCTACTTGCATCTCTCTTTCGTGATTTTCTCAGGCAGCTGAATGTGCGGCACCAAGCAGCCTACGATATTCGAGATATCGCGATGCACGTATACCTTTGTAATGTACTTTGTGATGTACTAAACTGGTCGTGGGCTGTCGACGGATTTTCAGCAACCTTATGAGTAGTACATTACAAAGATTGTTCGGTGAACTTCTACACACATTATGTGATGTGCCTGATTCGAGATGGTGTTGAGCAGTTCTGTTAAACCTTCACCATCCTAGCAACGGTGATGTGCTTGCCGGGTGGATAATTGGTAAAAAAATGAGCTTTTCCGCAAAGCCCGAGCGCCTGATGACACAACGCTGAACGGCCACAAAATAACGGAATAAATGGACGGTATCCCCAAGTATCACAACTCATTGCAAACAGCGTGCTCGATGTTGAGGGTACTTTCTTGGATGATACGTTATTATTTGCTAGGTCAGAGACGTTCGTCCAACGCGCAACTGCGCATCGGAGTTGCAGACGCATAATGGGGCAGGGTGGTGGACGATCCCTAATGTCACCGCTTCAGTTTGAGTGCCACAAGTTTAGTACCGCAAAAGACTAAGCTTAATTGGGTTGAAAGAATATTGTACAGAGAAGCGCGTTTTACTCAGTGCAATTAATTTTCTATGGCGAGCCTCCTGCTGCGCAGTATGGTGGCTCCTCTCAAGACACTTCCTTCGGGGATCGTTTTTCACAACAAACCTTACTAGGGCGTCGGTTGATCCGACCCTTGGGTTAATTTGCTTGAACTACTTTGAAGCGAATGCTGAGAGTGGTTGTCTGTTGGCAGGTTTCTGAACCAGGCCAGCTTGTACAGAATGAACAGCTCCCTCATCTGTCGTCTACCCGGATCAAGCGCGACGTGCCAGCGTGCTTCGCATTTAGTCCTCGTCCATGAGGTTGCCTTCTCTGACCTCTCGGCCCAACAACAAGGGCGCATGCGGCACGCCGCACCATGATAACTGAGAACCCCTCTAGTAACCTACGATGGACGATTCACCATGTACGTTAAAAAAGCAATCCACATCATAGGACAAGAGCGTGTGGAATTATCAGGCACTAGCGATAAGTATATCCGAACCGATCTCTTTCGATACCTCTGACGCAGAGCTCGGACTGGCAGCCTCCTTCGTAACTTGAAAAGGCCCTACAGCGGGAGATGAGGTGGAACTCCGATATAACCTACCCAAACTCAACTCTATTTCCTGAACACACCTACCTGTACACCTACCTGGCTTATTTTGGATTTTGTTCTCACTGCGCAGCGCGTGGTTTGAACCGCAATTTGACTTCGGCAATCGAACTGGCCTCTCAAACTTGGCCCACCATCAAACATCATTTGTTAATGGACGACCTCAGTGCCCAAATGTAGCTTGAATGTAGTTCCAATTACTTTGGCCTGGTGGCGATTTTGAGGTGAATTTGATTCGGACCGTAAAGCAGAACGCACGGAGATCAAGTACTTCTAAACCCATTGGATGGCTATCAGAGCAGCACCCGTGACTGCTCAACCTGGCTTTAACTAAATGCCCACATTATAGACCAAATCACATGTGGACCGTCAATTTACCATGATGATCACTGGCCCTGTTCCTATGATTTTTCTCTATCAGGCCGTAGACCCATTATAAAACATTTAACAGTCAAATCTGGTTGCAGAGAGGTCGTTCCTGCTCGGGTTTCACTTCTGTCACGATATGCAGAAACCAAGTGTAACAAGTTGTTCCGGATAATAATCAGAGTAGGTGATATCTTCATTCCTGCGAGGCCGGTGGCGCCATCGATCCAATCAAAACTGCATAAAAGAATCCCACGCCTTCCTAGCATGAGGCCAGAAATGTCTTCAAAGAAATAACTAACAGTGCCCTCACCAAAAAACAGCGTTTCGCTGTGTACAGAAGAGCGCCGCGGAAATTAAAAACGACCTAACCAAAGGTAATGGCAAATATTGCCTCGCGCTCCGCAAAACAGAAGCTTACCTGACGAGTATCTGCAACACTAAAGAGGGAAAGATTTACTGCGTTCTTCTTTGAAGACTGCTCCGTAAACTCTGTAAGCTTCCCCTTACTTTGTGGAGACTATGCCACTTCCCTCTGTCATCAAGTTTTAGCTCGTTTGGCAGCTGGTCACTTATGCATGCGTTTTGGAGCAGCCGAAAAAGAATAGAGAATACGGTAATTGGGCGTTATTAATTTTGAATCAAATTTCACTTTTTTCATTTACGACAATGTAACAAAATCGACAAAGTTCTAAAGATACCGCACAACCGATGCCTCATAAC